TAATAATTCATTGAAATTGTAATGGTCGGATAGGAAAGTAGAAGAGAAAAGAAGGAGAGAGAAATAAGAGGAAAAAAGAATAGGAAATAAGTATCTATGTTACAGCATTCTATAAAAGTAAAATATATTTAAATATATATGTCAATGGAAATCGGTTCCGAATATTTGGAACCAAATCGAATCGAATCAAAAAATTTTCAAACCGAACCGATCCCATCACTGGTATAGATATATAGAGTAACAATTTTTTTTTATTTTAGATAGTTCAACGTTTATGTTAAGCATATGTAAGTATATAAAGAAAACAAATACTTTTCTTTTATTTTAGATTGTACTCCATGTTTGATTGCATCACATGTAAGTATATTTAAAAAATTTCTTTTTTATTTTAGGTTGTGTTCAACGTTTAAATTCAGTACATGTAAGTATAGAAACAAAATAAATATTTTTTTTTATTTTAGATTATGTTCTACATTTGACTACATCACACATAAGTATATCAAAAAACAAATATGTTCTATTTTTATTTTAGGTTGTGTCCAACCTTTGACTTCATCACATGTAAGTATATAAAGAAAATAAATATTTTTTCTTATTGTAGATAGTATTCAACATTTGACTACATCACATGTAAGCATATTTTAAAAAAGAAATATATTTATTTTTATTTTAGATTGTGTTATATGTTTAAGTTCCGCACATGTAAGTATATTAAGAAAATAAATATTCTTTTTTTTCAATTTTAGATTGTGTTCAATATCTCATTGCATCACATGTAAGTATATTTAAAAAAAAATATATGTTTTTTTTATTTTAGATTGTGTTGAACGTCTAAATTCAGCACATGTAAGTATGTAAAGAAAATAAACATTCTTTTTATTTTAGATTGTGTTCTACGTTTGACTGCATCATAGAAAGAAAAGAAATATTTTTTTTTATTTTAAATTATGTTCTACATTTGACTACATTACACGTAGGTATATCAAAAAGAATATGTTCTTTTTTAATTTTAGATTGTGTCCAACCTTTGACAACATCACATGTAAGCATATTTAAAAAAATAAATATATTTCTTATTTTAGATTATGTTCAACATTTCACTGCATCACACGTAAGTATATAAAAAAATAATAATTATGTTCTTTTTTTATTTTAGATTATGTTGAACGTCTAAATTCAGCACACGTAAGTATATTAAGGAAATCAATATTTTTTATTTTATTTTAGATTGTCTTCAACGTTCACTGTAAAAAAGAAGCGTAGAATAATAAACCGTTATAAGAATTTATGAGAATTATACGGTAAAAAGGGTATATTATTCGTTGCACTTTCATAAACCCTTAAAGGGCTTATTATTCTACGCTTTTTTTACAGTGTATATGAGCGACTAAAGTGCAGCCAATTCTGTTTCTCATGCAATTCATACATGTGGCGTTGCAACATAATTTTTTTCTCGATTGTCAACATACTGATGTGGTAGAAATGCAATGCTGTCGATCGTGGCTGCGATAGTACGAATGTTGTTGCTTGCGCTTCGAGCTTTCTTTTCTCTATTTTTTTTCGTTCACGATGTAGAAACAATATGCGAGTGGCCCACAAACAGCTAGACAATCATATATTTGAAGGTGGAGTGTGGATATAAGGTGGGATTTGAGTGTGAGGGTTCGAGTTAAGCTAAGTATAACGTGTTAGCTGTGGATGTGGATATGCGTTGAGTGCGGCATGGATGTGGCTGTGGCTTTGGGAGTGATTGTGGAT